GGTCATTACGAAAAGCCCATCGGCAAAACCGGCATTGTGGGGGAAAGGGGTGAGTACCTCTGACACAAGAGTCTCCAGGTCTGTCGCTACCAGCCCGTTAATCCTAGCATTAGTATCCCAAAGCACTAATTGGAATGCCGATGATCGATGTAGAAGCTATTCAAGTCAAGAAGTATGCTGAGGAGAATCCAAACGAGGATCTGGAACAAGAGCCTACTTCTCAGGCGGGGCAGGAGTCCGTTTTGCCTCCTGACCCAGCTGGTGATTCAGTTGGTGCTTCAGCTACTGAGGGCCACAAAAGGCCTGAGTCAAGTGATGCAGCTGAGCCTTCAAGTCCAACGAAAGCTCGAATGGCCGCAATAACGGGATTTACCATGGGTACCCTGACATCAGCCAATGTGACAATGTGCTGGAGGAAATTGGGATTAATTGATTAATTATGTCATGCGTAGGCCGTCTGCGGTAGAGTGGCCTTAAAAGTGAACTGGTGAAGGACCGATACATAGTCCTGTGTACTGTCACAAGTCATCACCAAAACGCAAACCGAAACAACACAAACCAAGACACCAAAAACGAACAAAACACAAAAACACACAAACCCAAAACAAACAAACCAAAAAACACCCCACACAATCATGGAGGTATTTACTGACAGCGACTGGGCAAGCGACAGGCAGCCAATGACCCACTCAGTTTGGCTTTGCGAGAGAAACTTGGTGAAGGAGTTGCAGGTGAACTGGAAGGTATGCAGGTTGTGGATGATGATGGTCCTGCATTACCTAGTGGACCAATCCATGTGACAGCAGAGAATCCACCTTTGACCAATACTGGAGATGATATGTCAGGGGATCCAGGTCTTGCAGTGCCGGTGACACCGCCCAGGGACTATATAGAGATTGAAAGCCCTCGAGAGCCAGCAACATCTCGAGCAGCAGAACCCTCAGATGAGGACTCTTCAAGAGGCAACGTTTGGATGAATCAAAGAGACAGCGCATTGCCAGGTTACAAGCTGAATACGAGCAGAGATTGTGTGCTGTCAAGATTGCCTACAAAGAGTACTTCACTATGGATGATTATGAGACAGATTTGAATCTTGAACAATCAGCTGAAGAGGATGAAGACTGGGTTGGTGAAGATGCGGTTGTGCTGACTGGAATTCCAGAGTATTTGTGGTCAGACGCTCCAGTAGATCAACCCGCGCCTGGTAGTCCAGAAAAATGGATTGATGACCTTGCAGATAAGGTGGAGATTGACCGTTTGTGCAGCATGCAAGTCTTGGTGCCACAATCCGAGTTCCAAGGCGAAATCACAGGTTCTTTGACTACAAAGATGGTCAGGGATTGGCGTTTGAAGTCTTATGGAGAAGGTGAAGGTGAAAGGAAAAGATGGATGCGCAGATCCAGACTGGTGGCGCGTGAATTTGCAACAACGAAAAGATTGGACACTTTCAGTCCTGCCACTGGAACCCATACAGCAAACCTTCTGCAGTTGAAATATCTTGGAATGAAAAGCAAGATTTGTGAAACAGCATGCAAGGAGGATTACGATGTTGTTATGGGAAGCTTGGATGTGCGTGATGCCTTTCTGCAGGTTGAACAAGATGATCCGGTGCGTGTGGTTTTGCAGGGACAGCCTCTTATCATAAAGAGAAATCTCCCAGGCCAACGTCTTGGAGCAAAACAATGGTTTTTGTGTTTGAAATCATTCTTGATGGAAAGCATGAATTTCGAGTTTTGCCCGGAGCAACCATGCTTGGCGAGGACACCTGAGGCCACGATCATGATACATGTCGATGATATCCTTTTTGTGGGATTGAAATCTTTCTGGAACAACGTTTTTCTGAAGAAGATGAAAGAGAGATTTTCAGTGAGTCATGATGAGCTGAAAGGCCCAGGATCAAGCATCACCTTCTTGAGGAGGAAAATCATGGAGGTTGGAGATGGCCTAGTTTTAGCCCCGGGTACAACTGTGGACAAAGTGGTTTCTTTGTTTGAGAGGATGTTTGGATCGGCACGGTCACAGAAAGTGCCATGCGATGCAAGTATCCAGTTGCCCGACAATTCTCAAAGACTTTCAGAGAAAGACTCCCAGGGATACCGCTCAGTTGTGGGCCTATGTCTGTATGCAGGCCGTGAAAGGCCAGATTTGATGTATACCATAAAGGAGCTGGCGTCATACATGAGTGCTCCCACTTTGACTTCACTTGCGCACCTACGCAAGATGGTAGGCTTCATGAAATCTGTGGGGGACATTGGTTTGCACCTGCCATTTCCTGAAGATGGTCAAGGAAAGGTTTTTTCTGGTGGACAACACCGATGGGTACTTGAGAGCTTCAGCGATGCCGATTGGAGTGCAAACAAGCAGACACGTCGCTCAACATCATGTGGGATACATTTCATCAATGGATGTTTCATGTATTCAAGCAGCCGAAGTCAACGAGTTGTATCACTTAGCTCATGTGAAAGTGAACTTCATAGTTTGGTTAGCTGCGTTTGCGATGGGATATTCATCAAGGCATGTGCTGCTTTTGTTTTGGATGAACAGTTGGAACATTTTCAGTTTACCGACTCAAGCTCAGCAAGGCAATTGGCAAGCAGGCAAGGGTCAGGTAAGGTGAGGCATCTGTCGGGAAAACTGTTATGGATACAGGAGAAGACAGCTGACAATACCTTCAAACTTCGACAGGTTCCAACTAGTCTCAACGTGGCAGACATCGGGACAAAAGCTTTGAGCAGACAGAGGTTGTTCTATTTGTTATATGAATGTGAACTGGTTTTCATTGCAGACTTTTCAAGGGTTGGAGCAAATGAGCATGCAATTCAAGATGAGAGGAGATTGAATTCCCAACAATTGAAAAGAATTTCCAAAGCCATTTTACGCATGAGTATTGTCATGGGAGTTGCTGGGGGTCTTGAGTCAGCAGGACCGGTTGCGGCGATGGCGCAATCAGATCGCGCAAACATGGACAATGAGACCAAGGACACATCATGGTTTTCATTTGCAATTGCGGTTTTGGTGATTTGCATGGGTACTGTGTTTTCAAAGCTGGCATTCAGAGCATGGAAGTGGATTGAAGAGAAAATCAAGAAACTGGAGAACCAAGTGCTGGGAGTTTCAAACGAGTTGGAGCAAGCCCAGATTCAGTTAGCCGATCACTATGAATATGCAGCTGATTTGAATGGAAGAATAGAAGATTGCAACGCTTTGGCAACAGATGCGTCAAACAGAATTGACACGGTGATGGCTAGACAGACTGGTTTTGAACAGGAAACTATAGAAGGTTTCAATGCTCTGGAGGAAACCTCAAATTGCGTGAGGTATGGACTGATGGAGATAGGTGGTTTTGTCAGGAACGCTAAACTGACAGCCGAGCAGTATCGACACATGCTAACGCAAGAAAGAGGAAACCTGGTGCTTTGGAATCATAGAAACCGTGCAGATTCAACTGACCCAATTGTACATCAGCAAGAAGATCACGAAGGAGGAGAAGAAGAAAGTCCGACAACAGATGTGGAGGACAACCAATCCAATAGACCTACTGGAATGGAAGCCCTCTTACAGAACATGAGGGTAGATCAAAATCAAGCTCTTGCAGCAGAACGCTGGCATGAGGCCAGCATGATTCAGCAGGCAATTTGTCTGGTGCTAGATTCCACTCTAACAGAGGGATTCAGTACAAGAATTTCAAATGAGATCAGAAACATATTCCAGAGGCTATATCGTTTTCACCGTAACAGAGGAGATGATGAACGCCGAGACAGGTTTAGGCTCTATGTCGAAGACATGCAGAGCTTGATGATTTGAAAGATTGAATTCGAAAACGTTTTCACTGGATGATGCAGAGTCAGACAGCAGAGCTGAAATTTGCGTTGAGAGGTGAAAATTTTGGAGTTGTGGAATGAGCCACGCTCAAACCACAAAGGAGGAGTGTGGAAAGTTGTGGAGCCCACTCACATGTGCCAGGATGACACGCACAAATCGATAAGAGAGTTGCATTTGTCATTTCACTTCATAGACTGACATGAACAGCATGCGCAGTTGAAACTTGTGAGACCCTTTTGGCACGAGTGAAAATAGACTGCAGCGTTTTCGCCTGAGTCTTTGCAGTTTTGGAGGTAGTGCATTGGTGAAGTAACGTGATGTGGAGGTAGTGTATTGTTGAGGTGTTGTGATGTTTAAGGTAATGCGATGTTCAACAATTGATCCGTTGGTAAGTCAGATTTTTTTGTCCAAATTTCCTTTGATAGATGCACTCGGGCTCATGTTTTTTAAGTTTTTTTTTCCGTGATTGATTTCAGAACAGAATTTCACATGTGATTATATCGGGTTGTGCGGTTGCTATTGGTTTTGTTGCTGCCACTGCTACAGTGCCCACAGGCATGAACTGGTCAGGGGCAGTATGAAACAATGTAAAATGTATCAAATCCAACGAACCCAGACCCGGTGTTTTTCCACAGCGAAGACTTGGCATCACACATACGTTCATAGTCCCACAGCCCTCGGTTGCCATGTAGACTGCCACATTGTAGAACTCAGAATGATAAATTGTGATGGGGTGTTGTCAAAAACGCTGTTTGAATGTGTTTCATGCATACTATTATCAAGTGGTACAAATACTCAAACAATCAAAATGGTTTACATTTTACATTCAACGATTGATTCAACCATGGCAAAAAAAACAATTGCGCTTTACTCGTGTGACGGGGATTTATTTTCATGGATGGATTCAGTGTTGACGGGAATGTTTCTGAATGAAAACAATGTGTTGATTTTGGTTTTTAAACGCAAATTTCAGCCATGCAAGGCTCAAACTTGGTATTTCCAAGTTGCACAGCCGCGTTGGTAGATGTTACAAAATGTTGTTGTGAGTTTTGGGCAACCCGTTGCAATTGACATCATGATGGGTGGTATTGTTTAAAATTTTGTTGGGGCAATTTGGTGTCAAGGAATGTTTGTTGTATCCGTTCGAATTTTGAATAGTTTCTTTTGTGTACGAAGTGATGGCGGAGCAAATCCAAACCTTGGAAGAGTGGTTTGCTCGGGAGTCCACACCGGACAACTGGAAACTCAATTTGTTGGATTCCAATCATGTTTGCTATGATTTGGTGTGTGAATATGCATGTTTTTGTCATGCAGGTTGCATCAACTTGAACTCAATTTGAACACGTAGAGGCCTTAGTATGATGTGATAGTGTAATGAATCATCAGTATGCAACAAGGACCTTGCCACCTTCCAGATGGCTCAGGTTGGCTCCAAAATTAGCACCGAATTGTGCAAGTGTGACCGGTACACAGGCTCCCAAGGTGCGCAACACAAACAACACATTCTTTGAAAAGTACTAGATTCTGACACTTGTTTTGTCACAGTTTGAAGTAAGGAAAACCCAAATCAACAGAACCAATTGAGGTGTTGGAACAACTCTATGCTGGCGAAGGTTCGTCAGCCTTGCTAATGAGTTGCAGCAAACTTTCACAAGTGCGGGGCTTGATGGATCCCGATTCGCCATTGAAAAACATTTGAATGTGCTGAAAATTAGGCAATGTGCCCTACATGCGGTGGCCCAATGGGAGAGCGATCGTTCTGGGATTTTGAGTGGGAGGCGTTTTGATCTCGTGCACAAAGATGTTTCGTTGATCTGCCGGGAATTGAGAGGTGGAACTTGCCAAGCGCAGAATGAAACCAAGCTCGAGACTGGGGCTTATATATTTGATGATTACCGTTGTGAAGACTCAGTATTCTGTGACCAGATTTGTCATGCACTGACTCCTTTCACTTTCAAAATAAATGCTATGGTACACGAAATGTGCTTCGCTCAGGCTGTTTAATCTGCGAAAAATGCGCTGAAATCCGTGACTTGCAGCGTGCTCAATATGTTGTGAAGTGAACTTTAAGGGTGGCAGCTCTTTGTTCATGTTGTTTGGCTAGGCTTGGACTCATCAAGAGGTTGTGCTTCGCAAAGGACATGATAAATGTTCAGACAAACACCAGCTTCATGATAGAGGTGAGATAGCCCTTGCATTTGCATCGGATGCAGGGTTTCCGGATCCGGATATTTCAATCATCACTGTTTCATGTCTCGGCACTTTTTTGTAGCTGGTGGGCTGCAGGACTTGCAAAGAACTGGGAGTGAGCAAAGTGCACTGCTGCGTCACTTCCTCTCCGTGAATGGTGGTGGGCTCAAAAAATGACCTTGCCAAATATTCCAAATGATGTTTTTTCTGCTGCGTTTGAGGATTCATTTTTTTGTGATTATTGGCGAGGTCACGATGCTGCCAATTCTCACTATCTTCAGGATGCAGTGTCTGAACCTTTTTTCCGTAAGTCTTTGCTGATGTGAAACAGTATATACTGTATCACACCACAACACCATGTTTGTATATGTTTGTTTATTTGTGCAACATAGTCTAGCTCTGAAGACACAAGAAACAGATCACAACTTTGAGGTCATTGGCCTATGCCATTTTCACTTTGCGCAAGGCATGTTGCGTTTGTGGCATTGGTCCCATTTTCCTGAGCTGTAAATGTGAAATTAAATGTTCTGAGTCAGGAGTTGAAGTTGGTTCCGAGCAGAGGTCCACCACTGCAGGAGCGAAACTCAGTGAGCTACTACGCCTATATTCACTCAGTGAACTCACTTTGCAAAAAACACATATTTCTTTACGTTTATTTACAACGACCCAGTAGCGTTTGCAAATCTGGAAAAGGTTTGTGTGATTGGTGCAGGAACTCATTGGCAAACAAGTGCAGCGCCCGGTGAATCCAGGGACTTCCAATGACATGCGGCACTTGGAAAGTAATTTTGACTGCAAAGGAAGTCTCTTCGAGAGCCTCGAATGTGAGTGGCAAAAAAAGGTGCCAAACAAATCCAAACAACATGTTTGTTGGAATGCCACCTGTCCGAGTCTATCCGAATTTGTTTGAATGTCCTCATCACTATCTGACAGCTTTGCAGTCACTTGCTGATCGCAGGCTTCTGCAGCCCCCGAGCAGAAATCCAAAGGATCGAAGGTGCAAACAGGCAAAAGAAGAGCCATGCAACTGGATGCAACAGGTTTGTTTGCAGCAGCCATTGCAAGTGATGGATGGCCGCGACTGTTTTACCCAGGAGATTCACTCTTTCAGTTCGGTGCTGCAGTCCAATTGCTCAAGAGACAGGGTCATTGCAGGGTTCAACCATTTGTTGAAACCAATTGAGAATGATCCGAGTAGCAACTGGCAAATTCCGCAACACAGAGTTCTTCGCTACAGGAACCGGCCCGATGCATGCATCAGAATCAGTGGCATCATGACCATCGTGATATGTTTGCGGTGCACAGGCAAGTGCCTGTTTGTTTTAACTAAGTAGCAATGCATAATGACCTTGGCACAAAGCTTACGAACTATCGGAACTCGGAAGTATTGGTTGCAAGCAATGAATGATTGCACAGTAGCTGCTGGAATATGCCGAACGCAAGACTCCAAAAAAAAAACATACTCAGTCTACATCACCAGAAGCTGAGCGCTGCAAGATTTCGTGCACACTCCCTACATTTCCATAGCCAGGCAGACAAGGAGAAGAGACACAACCCATGCAATTACCTGCAAAACTAGCACTGGCATCATTGGCATCATGGCCACTCAGAAGCCGCTGAACTTTTACATTTTCGGTGCGCACAGCGTTCAATGCATTTCAAAGATGCATTGCAAAAAAATCAAAATTTTCAAAACAGTATTTGGTTAACTCTGCTTGCCCCAGCTTACCAGGCAGTCCAGTGACGATGTCACCATCGCCGGACATACATGGTACTGGCTTCAGGGTCAACGGAAGCGAGTAACTCAGGATTTTTCCAGGCAGCAGAAGCTTTGTTTTTTACATTTTATTTGTTGAAATACAGTTTTTGTCTGATTTTCTGCTTTCTCTACACTTCTATCGAAGATCTTTACACTTTGCAATTCTGACCTCTTTCCATGTGTCGAAGACTTGGCAGGTCCACACAGATACAGTCGCTTTGATACGCTTGATGTTGAAGAGGCTTGATGCTGGATACTGTCGAAGTTCTATGTATGTGGAAAGCTCATGCCGATGCAGGTTTTCAAACAATTGAAGTTGGATGATTGTGGCGGGGGCTCTGCTTCTTGTATGCAGCAATGCATCATTAGCACATTCTGCATCTCGACAATCACTGATTCTTGGAGTTGCAGAGACTCATTAAAGATGACCAATTCTGAGGTCACAATTCCTCACAAGGACACATGTGCACAAGATTGCACAAGTATCGAGTAATGCGAAGGTTGCAGCTTCCACATGCACATGTTTTGGAATTGGAAGATGGAAGTTTTCCGAAGGAATCAATAAAGAAGTACATGGATGAGTTGACGGAGTCGGCTCGAATCATCGGGGCCGTCAACACAGCCGTTTTCCCAGCTGCGATATTGGAGCACCATGGAGCACCATGGAGCACCACAGCTCTGGGTGAAACAGAATTATGCGGGAAGCTCAAAGAGATTGAACAGCCGCAGCCTACATCCCAAGGTGACAAAGAAGAAGGGGCAGTTTTTCGGAGACAACACTGCTTGCATCTTAAGGTAATCTTAAGTGTTGTGAAATGTCATACATTGGCCTCATTTCATATTGCCTGTTTTTCAATGCTTCCAAGTATGGTGTCGTTCGCATCAAGGATTGGATTGGAATCAAGAATCAGGTGGAAATGCGAATGGGACAACAAGGCCTCCGAAGACAATTGAAGCCCAGAGATGTTGTTGCTTTAGTTTGAACATGAAAGCCGCATGGAAGAAGGTCCTGTGACAATCTGGCACAGTAAAAGGTCGTGGGGCAAGACTTTGTGGCCAGATCCTAAGAAGGGCCTTTGCCTCTCTACTTCATGTTTTGATGTAATGTTTTTTTTCTAAATATTTCTTTTTACATCTTTTTACTGTCTATTTTTGTTGCTCCTTTCTTTGCAATTTTGCAATGCGTTTTTCAAGTTTCTTTTGGTGCTTGCTTCATATTTTTGCCCAGCCTGATACCCAAAATATGCCCGATCTGGTCAGCACAAGTTTGCCGTGCTTTTGACCCTAGCAATGAAAACGATGTACATAAATCATTGCAAAATTGTAAAACATAGCTGCTGACAGTAAAGCGCACCTCCGATGCGATAGAGCATCAGCAATACCAGCTGGCATTGAAAGCAACAAACGAGACACAGCACAGGCAAGAGCAACAATGCCAAGCAGTCAGCGTTGGGAGCAGCAGAAAGTTCAATAGTAGTAGCAGTAATACCAAAGTAGAAGCAACAGCATCGGAAAAGCCCCAGTCTGCAACAGCATTGCAAAAACCGCTCGACAAGAGGAAAGCAGGACAAGAAGTGAAAAGGAGGATTGGAGCGATAAAAAGCGCAAGAAACCCAAGACCAAGAGCAACAACAGCACCACCACAAGCCAAACCAGGAGCATTGACAGCGACAGCAATGGTAGCAACTGCGCAACAAGACGGACAAAAACAGGAGCAATAGCAAGAGCAAGTGTGAGAACAACACACAACAGAGCAAAGCATCGCAACAGCAGCGACAGCGATCGCTCTGTGCGTGCAAGTGAAAAGTTGGTGATCATACGTGTAAACTCACACACACATGTATACATACATACGATACGATATATATATATATATTATATAATTATACGTATATAACCGTATATGTATATATATATATGTATATTCACGTACAAACGTCTATATTATACAAACATAGCTATATCATGCTATATAGATGTATGTGTCTGTGATTTGCTGCCTTACGTGGGCTGGGTTGCATCTTCCTTGTGACCTAGGATGCCAAGTACATGTGGAGAGTAGCACGCACAACTTAAGAGGGCAGCAAGGTCACGATCCCAAAAATAAATGCTCTTCGGACAAGGGTGTCGCCCATCATGGTGCTTCAGATTTGGGTCCTGTCTGCTTTGCAACACAAGCTCCAGTGCTGTAGGTGACCACCACGTTTGGATCATCCATTCACTCATCCATATTCATATCTATGTGCACACATCTCAATATAGATGTCTATAGTACGTATGCAATTATATATATATATGTATATATTATATATATATGTATATTATATATATGTATATATATATATGTATATATATATATATGTATATATATATGTATATGTATATATATATGTATATATATATATGTATATTATATATATATATGTATATATGTATATATATACGTATATATATATATGTATATATATATATATATGTATATATATATATATAATCAAGCATCCTCTGAAATACCAAGCATCTCCAAACATCCATTTCCCTGAAAACTTTTAAGGGTGCTACTGTATGTGTGCCCTCTGGGAAAGGTGTGGTCGTGACGCTATGCATGCCATGTGCGCTTCGATGGGTTTCGACCTGGGAACTGCTAATTCTGCTGGCAGGTCGACCCACCAACAACAATTAAGGTGGACGGTGATTGAAGTTGAAATTCACGGCATACAGAATGCTTCGCTTATTGTTGGGTCTGCGCGCGTATTTGGAAAGGTTAAAACGCGGCGGCTCCTTGCACAACGCACCTAGTCGTGTTTCAACCTATTTTCCTAGGTTTGTTGTGTGGAGCGGGTGGCACTGCTCGTGCAGCAGCTTATGCATTGAAGCCTCTACCTCATTGCCATTCACTGCCCCAATCTTCACTGTGAGCTGATTTCCAAGATTCTTCAAAACGTTTTCCAAACTCTTTCTCTCTCTGGGTCTCAGGCAGATGGGTGCCACAAGGGTTCTCATTTTCAACCGGACGGCCTCCTTCTAAGGAGAACAAACACAGAACACAGATGAGAACATTTTGCATGATATGAATCGATAATATGACCGTTCCCATTATTTTCTGGTGGCATTGCTCAGGTATTGCGTGCCCAAGAACTCGCTGCCGAGTTTGGTTTTGAGGCTGATTCAAATACCTATGCGGCCATGCCACAATTCTCTTGTCAAGACCCAAAAAGAGTTACAGAAAATAACAGAAAATAACATTGTCAGTCATGAATTCACTATAATTCACTTATCATCACAAAAAATCCCTTTCCTAATACCTCGAAAAACACTCCAACTCAACCCGACTCAGCTGACTGCATGTCATTCCCTCACTCACGACACTCAAATCACTGAAGTCCAGGCAATTCATTCACTGCTTTAAACATTACCAAAACGTTACAGTATCTCAACATATCTCAACCCAATCACCCAATCATTAACATTACCAAAACAATGTTCCTTCTGAAACGCATTTTCTTTTCAGGTATTTTGTGCTTGCTAGACTACGAGGGAAACTTAGACACATGGAATAAATTGGTTGGACATTGGAATGGCGTCCCAAGGTCATGCTGATTGAATGTCCGAGTCCATTGAAGCATTGTAGTATGGGTACACTGAGTACACTGAGTACACTGAGTACACCCTTGCACTGTGTTCATTTCAATTTATATATTGTTGATATTGTTTGAACATGCTGTAATACATTTCTTTGTTTCTAGTCGATTGGGTCACTTCTACGTAGTAAATATACACTTTCAGATGTTCTGTGTCTCCATTTGGTTAAGAACTGCTTTGTAGTTAAAGTAAGCTGTAGTGCCTTGTGTGTATATATATATATACAGATATATTGTAGCACATCTCGCTGCAGTACTCCGATGTACTCTGTATCGAAAATCTACACCATGGCTCACTCAAGTATTGCGATAATGCTTTTTGTTGCGCTCAACTTTCTTGTTAGATGATCAAACACTATGTGCAGATTATGAGATACTAACAATATTTATAGGAGTAGACATACTGGTCCTGCGTAGTGGCGACTATGAACACAATGACACACTCTTCAAAAATCGTAACATTCAAAACCCTGGCAAGGGATAATGTACGGTACTCTCCAAACTCTCCGAAACTTCAGGACCTTTTGCCGCAGAGACTTTGTCTCGTTGCCAATATCAAACCTAATTCAGGCAGCAGTCATTCCCCACTTATTGCCCATCCACCATTCACTCAGTTGCTCGCCCACTCACTCATGCAGTTGCTCTATGACTCAATCATTCAGTGAATCAAACGCTCATTCGTCCACTAAGAAAATGTACTCGCTTGATTAAGCGTTTAATCACTGACCCAAGACAGTGACTCCATGATTATGATTGGCTCGCTGACCACAATACTCAGTGCCAGTGAGTATTCCCCTTAAGAAATAAGTCAACCAAGCTACCAATCACACACCATGCCCTGTTGCTTATTTGTGCTTCTCTCTTGCAGGCTTCCTTTGCTTCGAAGACTTCCTGCCTCTAGTCGCCCACGATCATAATATGATTCAAATGATAAATGCAAACAACATCTATTCTGAGGGGATAGCCGCAGCTGCTGCTCCTGCTGCTGCTGCTGCCGCTGCTGCCCTGCAACAGAGCATGTAAGAGCTTTCATCGATAAAGCATCAAACTGGAAGCCGCCGCAAAGAGGCAGCCCCACAATGCCCCAGACAGCACGATTCGACCGTTTGTCTCGTCTTCTCTCTAATCCGATAGGTCTCCTTCGCCATAAGAATCTGTTTGCCCTTAGCCTAGTAGTGCAAGAAGAGGCCTGCGACGATCTTGGCGCATTGACATCGCTGGATCACTTGCATGTGGTGATCAACACCCTGCTCGGATCCAATTTTTCGGTTGATCAGCCCAGGCCGACCAACCAGCAAGATTTGAATATATACATTTGAGAGCACTTGACACATCCTGACACATCCTGACACATCCTGACTCAATGTCACAACATGACACAATGACACAGCCAAGCAGAGTCGCTGAGGCCTGGCAGCTCTGATTTTTTGCTGCCAGATGCTGCAGCTTCCGTACTACGGAGGCAAGAACCGGCGACTAGAATTGACTTTTGTCACTTCTGTCCTGATTTTCAGACTTAGTTTTTGTTGGCAGAAGTTTGGTTGCGACGTTTGCAAATGAGCAACAGGTGTCGGCCTGTCGTTCTGGAAGCTGCACTCTTCCAAGTCTGCAGATGCATTCCTGAAATGGCTTTTTGCTAGGCTGGCAAGTTATCAGGAAGGCAAAAGAATTTGGACTGATTGTTCAATGCAAAGCCTAGAGCTGCAAAGTACTTGACAAAAAGCACCAGTGGCTATGAAATGTTGCTCGCTCAACTGTGCACAGAGCTGGTGATTGCGAAAATTGCTGTGTTAGAGGGTGTAATGAGTGGTGGAATACTGTTTGAGTTTAGACTTCAACCCAAGGGATGTCAAAGTCCGTGACCAGCTTGAAGCAGGTAGGTAGACTTAGGTAGACTTAGGTAGACTTAGGTAGACTTAGGTGGACATGGAGATTGAAAACTATACAAAAGCTATGTATAGAACTAGACTGGCTGATGGCTATATGATGGCTACATGAATCTTGTGGCACCCAAGGCATACATTCCGAGAAGGACAGCTTTCTTGAGTCAAGCTTTGTCGGCAGGCTGCGAGGCCTGTGACAGACTGGAAGTGCTTGTTGGCACGTTCGATACTTGAGATTCGCTGGGCTGACCTTTCATGGAGATCCATTGGCCAACCTGGATTTCTGTAGGTTTGATAACAATAAGACAGGGGTGATTGTATCCTGTATTTTGAAGAGAAGTAACTAAGAAGACGGCAATGTTGTCCAAAACATGCCAGCTGGGCCCCCTTGTGGCAAGACAAGTTGCCTTGTTGCTTGGTCACTGATGGTTGCCAATTGTCGCCCGTGGCTGCATTTGTTTGGCAGGTTGTTGAAGGCATCGAAATGCTTTTTGAGCAAGGCTGTGCTCAGTGCGAGAGTGGACCTTGGAGCCAAGCCTTCGAATGGGCAATGGGAAGCCTTGAATCCAATGACTCCAATGACTCATAGCTCTGACACAATCCGTGCTGTGCGCACTCAGGATTTGGACAAACAAACCCGCTCCTCGTTCGGAGATTGCAGAGGCATTGCTGCAGGCAGGAACACAGATATAACAAATTCCAGAGCGCTTTTGGCAGGCGTTGGTTTTGTAAAACGTTTCTTTATTATTTTATTGCTGCTTCATGATGCTTTCAGGCTCTCTTTACCGCTGGCTGGATGCTTGGATTGTCAGTCTTTTAGAACACAATTTAGAACATACTGAAGGTGTGACTCTCTATACTGGCCAAGTATCAACAGGTTCTGAACATCCTGCCCATGCCAAAATGGTGCCCTATTCCGACTTGCCAAAGTCTCTTGTTGCGGAGGCACCACAGCAATTCCTTTCCCAAAAGTGAACGCAGTGTTTGTGTTGAAACCTCAATGGGCATTTGCAACATTTTCTGTCCCAACGTCAAAGCATTGTCAGGCGCAGAGGAGACCTGGTGTTGGTGCAACGACTGTCTGCTGCACTCCGGTCAGATATCTTGGGAAACTCAGTGGTTGGATTTGCGGCCACTAACTCTCGCGAGTACAAAAGTTACTTGAGTCGAGTGCCCATGGTTTCAGAGAGTACATATTCACAGGTCTCAAAATGTTGCCAGTCATTTCTCATGTTCGCAATATTAGGATACTCATGTGTAATCATAGCTGATAATCATAGATTCATGCTTGATCAGGATCGAAAGTTGCTTTTCCGCTCAAGGCATGAACAGCTTGAATCTAGAAAAAGATCCCCAAAATGAGAACATGTCAGCCCTGTCCTAGAAATTTCCACCGTAACAGCAAGACAAGTATGGGGACTCGCAGTCAGAATCGCCTATTTGATACGATCAAGATGATCAAGGTAGCGCTCAACAGAGTTGGTAGATGGGTCCAGCCGCGCTTAGCACACCGCAGAAAGTCACAAAAGACACGGATCTTTTCTGGCGACGTTATCCAACGCGGAATGCCTGCTGGCTACGCTTGTCTTCTGCTTAGCAGGAAGTCTACACACATTTTTCATGGATTGTATATAGATCATTTTGTAACATACAAATTGTAAGAGCATGATTCCATGATATATCTTGATATAACTTGATATAACTTGATATACAACAAGCTTTGAATCAAGTCTGCCATGCACCTTGCTTCATGGGCTTCATGGGTTTCATGGACGCCACCTTGAGTGGAGCTTTGGCCGCTGCATTGAGAGCAAAGAAGCTCCCAATCTCACGTTGTAGCCGTTGTAGCAACCTCAGAATTATAGAATGCACTCAGCATAGTGCAGAGCTTCCCTATTTATTTTTAAATGATGGACGGTGTCATTCTCTGCAGTTGTTCACTTGAGGTGATGAAAGTAACTATTGCACTGTAGAGAAGGTGCAGCTTGACCACAAGGCAAATAATGCACATCCATCATGCATCTTACAATGTTATTGGAACAATACCCATGTCGTTGTCGTGTCCTTGCATCCAGCAACATTACAACCGATCACCAGGAAGTTCTTCTTTGGCTTGAAGTTGTCGGAGAGAGGTCACATGAGTTGCAGATGAACGGAAAGAATGTCGAATATTGTCGAACATTGTTGCAAATTTTCTAAATGTGCACGTTGATCCTTTTCGTTTCTTGGAGGCTGGACCCCTCGTCATCAGAGATTTTCAGCTTGCCGGATACTTGGAGGTCTCGCTTAAATTTTGGATTAGCAGACTGTGAAAAAGATGGTATCCAGAATTGTCCGAAACTGGAGTTTTCAGGGCCAGGATTTGGCCAAGTGTTGGGTGGTGCTGTCATTTGGAACCAAGTCTGCCTTCAGCCCAAGCCTGGCAAGCAAGCGGAACTGTCAGAAGCTAAGAAGGTGCAAGAAATGGAAGCTGCCTCTGGCTAGAACAAAATTGAACTTGAGAATTGACACATTTGACACCGCCTTGAAGTTCTTTGGGCATCACAAGAACTACCTCCTCCAACGGCCAACGCTCCAATTGTGGGCTATCATTGTAGACTTATCCTCGCAGAATTTCTATTCATTGAGCCCACTAATCACAGTGTGACTGTAATTAAAATTAACTAAACAGTTGCCCATAGGTGCAGCAGTTCTTATGGCCTCGTGACATTCCAGCCTCTCCCTACGGCATCTATATAGTCAATGCATGTCAAAGCCAAGGTGCGAGAAGAACGTCGAACAGATGCCGGATGCACAAAGGCCAAAAGCATTTGAGCGGAATAGAAGAACGAGAACAGAATGGGGAAGTTCACGATCTTGACATAAAAGAGCTTCACATCCTTTGGTGATTCACACCGTTTCACATCATACAATGTCATACAACTACAAAATATTACAGGTGCCTGATGACGATCCTTGTGATTCCATCAGACTTCAGACTTTCTTGGCCGTCGTTGCACTTCTCGTTTTCACGGGAAAACTAGAGCTGATTTCCAGGTAAAGCTGAGCTGTCCTGCACCAGCTGCTCCATACCTGAAGGAGGGCCATTTGATTTTGTGGAAAGGTATGCATTGATTGTTGCAACGTCCGCTGGCACAGGACTTGTACTTCTGCTATGCACCGGGGTATTCCCATGTGTCGGCCCCTCCGGAATTTGAGCATGCTTATTCAAATGAAATGGGACTTGAAACATCTAGACCAGAGATCTCTTATGAGAAAACTCTTGATGCCTTAGACATTTCTTGGATTTCTTAGGCCGATCTCGGACCTCTTTGTCACAGAGGGGGCGTGTGAGCTGGAGGCACTGCCTTTTACAAACCTGACTCAAAATGTACTCTTGAAGCAATGCCTGGTTTTTGCGAAGCACAGAGGTGTGTGGAATATTGATGAATATTGTAGATCTACTGCAGCGTTGGCTCCAGTCACGAATTGCATCTTGCAAAGTAGTGGACCAGTAGGGTGGCACTCCCATCATTCCACCATTTCATCATTCTATTTGCTATCAAGTGAAAGCTAAAGGACACTGTTCCGTTGGCATATTTTGCATGTCAAGAGGCTGCTGTTCCATACAAACCCTACCTGCTTGTTTGCCTTAGACGCGCTTCCAGATCTACAGTCATTCCGCAGATGCACATCACCGCATATCACAGAGGATTCTCGCATGATGGTGAAAAATGCAGAGAAACGTCGCAAAGGCAGGAGTCTTGGCAAATGTGCTTGAGGCACCATGCTGCACCATGCTGGTCAAAATAAGCCCATCATGTGCTTGATGAAGCTCCCAGGAACCAGTACGAAGGCTGGATATCACGGCCCATCGTCACTTTGTACGTCGCTTTCAAGGCTAGGCGCACAGCTGTGGTAGTGTCCAGTGTCTATATCGGCTGCATAGTACCCACAGGTTACCATAGGTTACCCATCCTATGGAGACACCAAAGCTGTGAGGAGCAAATCCACCGCAGCGCGCAGATCCTCGAACAGAACTGGCAAAGGCCGTGGGGCGTGGGGCATCTTCCAAGTGTCTTCTGATACCTTTGGTGCACACACTTTCAGAGTCTTTTAGACATGCTGATCCCTAGGCACAGGCGCCAATTGGACTTCTGCAACTTCCACGTTCTCGTGGGGAAAGGCTTCGAAGTGGAAAGGATTGTTTGCATCAGAAAAGTTTTGACCCAGGACTCATGACCCATGCCTTTGTTTGAGGCTACGTCACATGGAAATCATCGACCGTGTACCTTTTGACCTTGTCCCTGCATACCATGAGCGTGCCTTTGAGTGCACTTCCATTGGTGGAGCAATGCAGAAACTTGCAGCATGCTTTGAGAAAGTGTGGAATGCAGGGCAAATATGCCGCATTTGCATCTGCTGCATCTGCTGCTGCATATACTGCTTGCACATGCTGCTTGTGCTTGCAGCTTGCCATGCCAAGGCGAAGCTGCACGTGGTCGCTTGGTTGGTGCTGCAAAAGGTGCCTGCATGAAGCAAAAACCACTCTGCTTGAGACAGAATTTACAAATGTTTACAGGATTTTTAAAGCATAGTGCAACAGTTGCAAAAGCATATTTAGATTTGCGTAGAACGGACATGATCAACTGTGGAATCAGCAGTAGGCTGTGTACTGTTTGCTCAGTTTGCTCCCTCACGGTGAGGCCCAATCGGGAAGATTTTGCGGCGGCATAGAACAGACTCTTCCACCACTTTGATCCACACGATGTTGAAGGTTTGGCAATCTCATGCGATGTCATGCGATGTGGCAGTGTGTCGTTGTTCAATGTTTTGTGTGTCCTCATCCAGCATCCAGCAAGCTTCTCAAGTCCACAAGAAGTGCTCTCCACTTTTAGATGGTCAATTGGAGGCCTGTGTGGAAAAGCGCTGGGATGCCATGCTTTGGGACACCTTTGCGGGTACTGTTCGACATGAGCTGTCTTATCCTTACTCCGTAAACACAGCATTTCGGGTGAATGTGCCAAGGTTTAAATGATTTGGAGATTTGACATGATTTAACATTAAACTATGCAGGACAGTTTTGTATGGTGGCTGAGAGTCTTGAGGTCCTACATGGGTCCAGCTGACATCGGCTTGGTTCTCTTGTGCTGTATCAAGGCTGAGAATGATATGCAGATCCGTCCTGAAAGGAATACCTTAACTGTCAGTGGAAACTGTAATCACTGTTGAATACTATCCCAATTTTCGATGTCAGGCAGATTTTGGACGCAATTCGACTCTGGTCCCAGACCTGCTGAAGCGGCTTGCAACGTTGGTCATGGCAGGTGAGGCAATGACACTGCATTGAGAATAGCACAAAAAAAAAACTGTTTCAAGTCTTCTTAGTCAAAAACGAATACCTCGTTGCCCAGGGGGCAAGTCTATACTGCCTTCTGGTGTTGGACATGCTTCTGGAACACTGGCTACAGCAGCTGCTGCTGCCGCCGCTGTGCCGCAGGCGTGTTTTTAGAGCGGACACAGGAAGAGTTCGCCAGTATGGCGCAAAAATTGCGCAATACGCAAATTTTGCATGTTGATTATGCACATATTTTGTTTGCGGTTTGGGTTTGCAGTGGATATAAGGCCAGCCGTGCTCATTCTGGAAGAAGACACAGGTCGAGACGTACTCGTCACGCCAGGAGCCTAAGTATCAGTCAAACATTGTGCGTCTATTCGGGCATGTTTTTCTCTTAATCTGTGTGGCCTTTTTTATGGTTAAAAAATGTTAAGAAGCCTCTTGTGACTCTTGTGGCTTGTGCTACAAGGCTGGGTCCGAGATCCGAGTGGCAAAGGCCCCCAATCCAGATCGCACCGCCGTAGGTGCTTTGCAAGTCCTTTGTCTCAGGGTTCCACTGTCCGGCATTGACAGGCAACATTTCCAGAGCATGCCGGAGACTGATGGCGTAAGTGTTAGAACATCACTGGGCTCAAGCTTAGCCTGGAAGCTGAAGCCTGAGGCTTTGCTGGCTGGCATGGCAGCTGCGAATCACTTTGGACTCAGCTTCTTGCCGAGTTGAGAGAACTTGTTAGCATTGCAAGCTTCTGTCATCCTCTGTTGGCACAAACTGCACCATTTCTGCTTGCATGGAGACTCGTGCGTAAGGAGAAACCAAAACTATCTAGAATTTAGACACCTAGAAAGCAGCAAGTAGGCCGACGTTCTAAAGGCATTTGCATTCACCTGCGTCATGGAACGGTACCGAAGGTCGACACAAGGTTGGGGCTTCAAAACTCAGGAGAGAAATGCGGGGATGATCTTGCAAGAGTAGCTGCACGAGCCAGTCAAGGTGCTCCGTGAACAAGGTAGATGTGGCAGGAATGGGTAGGAGCTGATTCCAAGATTTTTTACCTCTCAGGTTGGCCTGAACCTATTACTTGAAAGGCTACTCAATTGTTAACATTGATTAACTTATCATGCTTTATCATTTATCATTTGTGTGTGTGTGTGTGAGTGCTTTGCGGATCTTTGCTTAGTTGCAGGTTGTGGCGACATATCCAGCAACGTCTTGTGCCGCATGGTGCACCATGCAGGTAGTCAGGGCTTTGGTAGATGCAGTCTGTCGAGTTTGTTCTTTTTTTTTACAGCTCTACATCAGCTGTTTTAGGTTGGTACTTCGGATAGGGATACGGGATACTGCGGATACTGTTTCTTTGCAGTTTTTGTGAATTGCTTTGCCGCCATTCAACTACACTCAGGTCTCGTCAGCAAATCACATGGTGCCAGTGGCCTTCATCTCAATTTGAATGAGAACCTCAAAGGACATACAGATCCAAGATGATCCAAGCAATGCAGCAAAGAATCACATTTTTTACCAAACTGTTCTTGCTTTCTTACGGGAGAGACCGCAGAATGTACCGAGAGCTTACTGTATTACCGCATCAGTGTGGTTGTACTCCTCCAAGGTTTGTCAAAATTCCTGCAACGAGCTCTGCCAGAGTGTGTACCTTAGAGCACCAGTTTTTGTACAGTTCACTGAGTTGCAACATGTCATGTTGCACCCTGCAAGCCTTAAGACCGTCCTGCACGCTGCACCTCGGACCGTCGGCTCTGTTTGTCCAGGTTGCAAATGCGATTGAATGCTGGCATTGCAGGTGCTGGGGTCCCATGGTCCTTTGCTAGCGAGAGGAAAACGTCACTCACACGAAAGCTCATAGCTAGACAGGCCAAGCTGTATCGCCTGGCGACATTTGTTTGATCGCTCATGCCTACGTCGAAGTCTCAGCATCAAGGATGATCAATGATGATAAATGAAGCACTTACGGACAGTGCAACTTTCTGAGCTTGTGGCCCAAAGGCTCATGCAAAGAGGCCAGATACCAACCTATTCAAGGACGGCACTCCGAGATCCGAAGACCTGCAGAATGCTTCTTGCAGCGCAGGACCTGAGACAACATTTGCTGAAAGAAGATGGTGTTGCACTGCTGAAGTCAGACCCTCAGACCCCAAACTTGCCAACTTGCCACATCTACACACTTTTCACTTCGCTCAGACTTTTTTTGGGATATCTTAGATACCCCAAACATACCCAACTCCCCCAAAATCATTTTATGTCGGCCAGATTTGGGGGTTCGGCAACTTCGGCGTTGAAACTTCAAACAGGTTGAGTGTCGGAGAGCTCACGAACCTGTTGAATGTCTGATGCCCGGAGACCGATCAAGTTTTGCTGGGAAGTATGTGAAACATTGTGAAACTGCTGGGAGTACAGGTTTCAATCGGTTTCAATCGGTTTCAATGGATGAACAAAAAGAATCCGAAAGACACGTGACTTTGTGGAGCCCATTTTGGTTGCTTTGATTCTTTTTGAGCAAGATAAGATATGTTACAATGTTGTCAGGATGGAAACAGACCCAGAATTGCCTCACACCCCTGCCTGGCCTCCCTGAAGTTATGACTGTTTGAATCGTTTCCAAGACAACTTCAGGCTTTTGCCAAGTCATCTGACGCAGCTAAGAATGGCAATCTTGAGCTTTTCGACAGGCTCGAGCGCTACGGCTTGTTGAACAACTGTATAGCAATGTATAGAATAGATTATATAATATATATATATAATATTATATTATATTATATCGTATTATATTATATTATATCATATTTTTTTTTTAATGTTATGTTATGTTATGATATATTATATTTTATTATATTATATTATATTACATTATATTATATTATATTACATTATATTATATTGTATCATATTACATTATATTAAATTACATTATATAAAATTATATATTGGAATGATCATGGTCGCGTTAAGACTCCTAGGGTTTTCTGGTGATTTTTTGGCGGTGGCAACCTGGGGAATTTTTTGGTGCGTGATTTGACCTTGATACACGACGCGTGTTTTCTGGTGATTTTTCCGTGGCAACAACCCTTGGCACCTAGACATTGAAATGATCATGGTAGCGTTAAGACCCCACGGGCTTGAAGCGGGAACGGAGCCGGAACGAAGCGGGAGCAGAGCGGGAGGGGAGCGGGAACGAAGCGGATTCGATGATTTCAATGTTTTTTCACGGTTTTCCATGGTTTTCTTGCCTGCCGCTTCGCTCCCGCTTCGCTCCCGCTTCGCTCCCGCTTCGCTCCCGCTTTCTTTTTCTCGTGTTTTTTAGCGTTTTTTGCAGTTTTTCCAGTTTTTTTGGATTTTTGAATATTGTTTTTTGACTTTTTAGATGTTTTTATGTTTTTTTTCCTGGAATTGTCTCGTTTTTTTTGGGAAAGGATAGCAAGTTTTATGAGTAGCCCCGTTAGGAGTAGCCCAGGGTTCTTTCATGAATTTGATCACTCTGTTTTTCTTCATTTCCTTACCCACTGATCTCCTGGTCTGGATCATCTGTTGACAACACCAACTCGTGCCACAATCTGATCACCTGTTATGATATTTATAATTTGATGGAATCAAGTCGAGCCATGCTCTGATCACCACTTTTGATAGTATTTTTTGATGAGGTCAAATCCAGCCATGCTCTGATCACCAGGTTTGGTCAGTTCTGACCTGGAAAATCCAAAAGTTAAGTTAACGCTACTTCGATGATAGCAAATTATATCACGAAAGGTAGCTCCAGAGGGGCTACCTTGAGTTTTACTTTACGAAGTAAAGGGGAGGGCGGCCAGCCCCGTTACCTGATTCTTCAGGAGATTGCTAGTCATTTTAGTACCCCCCCCCTCCACACCTCCCACGCACCCTAAGAGCAGACTCAAAATACTGTAATTTACAGTATTTTTGTTCTTTTCGGATCAAGAAACCACATTTTGTTACATGGTGAAACCTCCGTAAATACCAGTGTTTTTGCTAGGTGCTGGCCAAAAAACACTGTAAATACCGTGCTTTTTACTACCAGAGGCAAAAAACATCGTAAATACCGTGGTTTTGGGCTTCCGACCGGCCAAAAACATTGGTATTTACGGTGTTTTTTGCTCCGAGCGATGCAAAAACACGCGAAAACACCACCGATTTGACGATTTTCGGCCACTACGGAACGGAGCAAAAACGCTGCAGGGGTAACACCAACACCGACAAGAACAACACCAACAGCAACAACAACAACAACAACGACGACAACAACAACAACAACACCAACACCAACGCACAACGCACAACGCACAACGCACAACGCACAAAGCACAACGCACAACGCACAACGCACAACGTACAACACACAACGCACAACGCAACACACACACAACGCACATCACACAACACACACAACACACAAAACACACACAACACACACAACACACACAACACACACACACAACACACAACACACAACACACACACACAACACACACAACACACACACACACAACACACATACAACACACACAACACACAACACACACAACACACACAACACACGCAACACACACAACACACACAACACACACACACAACACACACAACAACACACACAACACACACAATACACACACACACAACACACACAACACACACAACACACAACAACACAACAACAACACACAACAACACACAACAACACACACACACAACACACACAACACACACAACACACACAACACACACAACACACACAACACACACAACACACACAACACACACAACACACACAATACACACACAACACACACAACACACACAACACACACACAACACACACACAACACACAACAACACATAACAACACACCACAACGCACAACAACACACCACAACACACAACAACACACAACAACCACAACAACCACAACAACCACAACAACCACAACAACTACAACAACAACGAATGACAACAATAACGACAACAACACACAACAACACACAACAACACACAACAAAACACAACAACACGCAACAACAAACAACAACTACAACAACAACGAATGACAACAATAACAACAACAACACACAACAACACACAACAACACACAACAAAACACAACAACACACAACAACAAACAACAACACACAACAACACACAACAACACACAACAACACACAACAACACACAATAACACACAACATACAACAACACACAACAACACACAACAACACACACAACAACACACAACAACACACATACACACAACAACAACACACAACAACACACCACAACACACAACAACACACAA